TATCTTCAGATAGAGTGGGAGAGAGAGAAACATCGATGTGAGAGGGACACATTGAATGGTTGCCTCTTGCACAACACCGACCAGGACTGGGGATGACAAGTACATACCCTTGACAAGAATCAAACCCATGACTCACTGGTCCATGGGCAGATGCTTGAACCCCTGAGCCAAACCGGCCAGGGCAAAAATTACATTTTATGTAATTATTTTTATTTTTTGCTCAAGCTCTCCATCCCCCACCAGAGCTGTCTGCCTGCTCTCTATCTATGAATCTCTCTATTTTACTTGTTAGTTCATTTTGTTCATTAAATTTCACAAATGAGTGAAATCATATGGTATTTCTATTTTTCTGACTGGCTTATTTCACTTAGCATAATACTGTGCAGGTTCATCTATACTATTGCAAAGGGTAAAATTTTCTTCCTTTTTATGACAGAGTAGTATTGTGTTGTGTAAATGTACTACAGCTTTCTTATCCACTCATCTACTGATGGACACTGGGGTTGCTTTCAAATCTTGTAAATAATGCTGTAATGAACATAGGGGTGCATATGTTCTTTCAAATTTGTGTTTCAGGTGTCTTTGAATAGATTTCCAGAAGTGGGATCACTGGGTCATAGGCAGTTCCATTTTTAATTTTTTGAGGTAACTCAATAGTGCTTTCCACAGTGGCTGTACTAATTTGTATTCCCACCAACAGTGCACTAGGGTTCCCTTTTCTCCACATCTTCACCAACACGTGTTTATTGATTTATTGATTATAGCCATTCTGACAGGTGTGAGGTGATATCTCATTGTGGTTTTAATTTGCATTTCCCTGATAAATAGTGATGTTGGGCATTTTTAATATGTCTATTGGCCATTTGTATGTCCTCCTTTAAGAAGTGTCCATTCAGGTCTTTTGCCCATTTTAATTTTTTTTATCCTCACCCAAGGACATTTTTGCATTTATCTTCAGATAGAGTGGGAGGGAGAGAGAGAGGAAGAGAAAGAGAAAAACATTGATGTGAGAGAGACACATCGACTAGTTGCCACCCACACGATCCCAACCGGGGCCGGGGACAAACACGCAACCCAGGTACGTGCCCTTAGCGGGAACTGAACCTGGGTCTCTCTGGTCCGTGGGCTGACACTCTAACCACTAAGCCAAACTGGGCAGGGCCTTTTGTCCACTTTTAAATTGGATTGTTTGTTGTTGAGTTGTATGAGCTCTTTATAAATTTTGGATATTTATCCTGTATCAGATGTATCATTGGTGAATATGCGCTCTCATTCAGTGGGTTGTCTTTTCATTTTGTTGCTGGTTTCCTTTGCTGTGTAAAAACTCTTTAGTTTGATGTAGTCACATCTGTTTATTTTTTGTCTTTGTTTCACTGCCCAAGAAGATATATCAGAAAAAATATTGCTATAAGAAATGTCCGAGAGTTTACTGCCTGTGAAAAAACACATTTTAAATCAACTTCTCTTTCTTTTTCAGAGAAGCATGAGCTGCAAGATTTTCTCAGTTCCCTGATAAAGCCCATACCTTATTATCTTGACTTACCGGCATCTTCCACTAGAGGGCCCTGTCCCTGAGATTTCAAATTCAAGTACATTTTACAAAACTGACACATCTTTGGTTTGATACAAAATGCTGTTTCATTGAAAAAAATTTTTTGGTTAATCATTACCTGAGGATTTTTTTTCATTGATTTTAAGAGAGAGTAGCAGTGGGGGGATGGGGGAGAGAGAGAAACACATAGGTCGGTTGACTCCTGCACACGCTCCGCCTGGGGCAGAGGATCAAACCTGCAACCCAGGTACGTGCCCTTGACTGGGAATGGAACCCGTGGCCCTCCAGTGTGTGGGCTGACGCTCTAACCACTGAGAACACTGGCCAGGGCTGAAAGAATATATATATATATATATATATATATATATATATTTTTTTTTTATGAATTTTTATTTATTTTTTTTGTTACAGATATTTTAACTTTTTACCCCATTGGCACCCCCCACCCCACCCCACCTCTGCCCCGTCCCCGGCTTAGTTGTCCATGTCCATTGGTTATGCATACATGCATATAAGTTCTGTGGTTTATCTCTTCCCACCCCCCCACCCCCCATCCCCTCTTCTGAGGGATGTCAGTCTGTGCCCTACTTCCATGTGTCTGGGTCTACTGTATTCCTCAGACTGTTATGTTCATTATATTCCGTATATAAGTGAGATCATGTGGTATTTGTCTTTTTCTGCTTGGTTTATTTCACTTAGGATAATACTTTCCAGGTCCCTCCATGTCGTCTCAAAGGATAAGAGATCTTTCTTTCTTACTGCTGCCTAGTACTCCATTGTGTATATGTACCACAGCTTTTTTATCCATTCGTCTACTGGTGGACACTTGGGCTGTTTCCAGATCTTAGCTATTGTAAATAGTGCTGCTATGAACATGGGGGTACATATATTCTTCCTGATTGGTGTTTCAGGCTTCTTAGGGTATATTCCCAGCAGTGGGATCACTGGGTCAAATGGGAGTTCAATTTTTAATTTTTTGAGGTAGCACCATATTGTTTTCCATAGTGGCTGCACCAGTCTGCATTCCCACCAGCAGTGTATTAGAGTCCCCTTTTCTCCACACCCTCGCCAACACTTGTTGTTTGATGATTTGTTGATGGCAGCCATTCTGACAGGTGTGTGAAAGAATATTTTTATTTTATAGACCTGTTCATCACAATCTAGTTCATCTGAAAAGCTGTGAAGGGGGAAATAAGATCACACTCATTTTATTATTTATTTATTTATTTCTATTACATTTTGGGGGATAACATTGGTTACTAATATCATATAGATTTCAATTATACAATTCTATAATACATTATCTGTATTTTGTATTGTGTGCTTACTACCCAAAATAGAGTCTCATTTTGCCACCATATATTTACACAGTCATTTCACAGAAGGAGAATCTAATAAATCAGAAGATTCATAGAAAAGAAAGTAAGAGACAAGAACATGGTAGTCCTGAGTCCCAAAGGTGTATCTGGGGAGGTGCTCAAATATACCATGCAGATCCAGGACTCTGCTTTTGTTTGTTTGTTTATCCTTTCCTCATATGGATGCCCTCTGTCTTCTTCAATCTCTGCCAAATCCCATTCATCTTTCAAGTCTCAATTTCAGCCCCACCGCCCCCATAAGGTCTTTTCTTGGCCGACACTCAACCGCTGAGCCAAACTGGCCAGAGCTGGGAAGACATTCTTAACACTCACTTGACTGTTCCACTCAGATGTGGTGGGGGAGAGGTTGAGAGGTAGGAGCACCTAACCCCCAGCTGAGCTCCATGGCTCTCTGAGTGGAGCCTTGGAACTGAGGTGTAATCAGTTTTATAATCTGCAACATCTCTCAAGTTCCCTCTGAGGAATGACTTTACTTCTTTCAATGTCTCCTGTTTTGACAGTTGGGTTACACTTAGTTCCCCTAAAGTGCTAAAAATATAACTTGTCAATTCCTTTTGAAGAATAGGGTACTGGGTATGGTTTCTTCTCATTGCTGAGGCTGCTTGGATTGCGTATTAGTCTGGTTATGTAAAAAAACAGAACTATTGAGAAATAGTTACATGTTGTTATAGAGACTGAGAAAGATCCATAGTCAGCAAAATGGAGATGGTATAAGTTCCAGTCCAAGTCCAAGTCTAAAGGCAGAAGAAGACCAATGTCCTAGCTCAAAGACAGTAAAGCAAAGGGTGAGTAAATTCTTCCTTACTCCACCTTTTTGGTTCTAGTCAAGATTTCAATGGATTTGGTGATGCCTACCCAGGAGAAACAGGATTAATCTGCTTCACTTAGTCTACAAAATCAAATGTTAATCTCATCTAGAAATATTATCACAGACACACTTTGAGTAATGCCTAACCAAATGCTTACTTAACACACTATTTGGGGAGTGTGTCTGCACTGCTTAGAGTCACAACTCTGATGGCTTCTCATGTCATACGGACATGTATAATTGCACTGGTCCAGCCAGTTGTAACTTGAACAAAGGTTTCTGGGCAAAAGACCAAGTGGAGGCTGAATTGCAGCCCACATTCTACTCACCAAGCCATGCACTAGGGTGAGGGGCTGCATTTGCCTCAGGAAAAGGGGGCCTTTGCCTAATTTGCCTAAGCCAGGCACCAGGGCTTCTCACATACATTGAGTATAAGCAGAGCATCCTAGGTGGTGTGACATAGCATATTACAGGTGTGCAAAATACTGATCCTTTCTATGTTTGGAGTTGCTAGGAAGGGTCATTACCTACAATCACAGGAAGCCTCTAGTCACAGGCAGTCTCTGGACATGAGCAATCTTGGTTCATTTTTTTTATCATTTTCCATTTTATTTTTTTATTAATTTTTTATTATATTTTTTTGTTAGAGATGTTTCTCCTTTTTTACCCCATTGACGCCCTCCTCCCCATCCCCCCCACCCCGTCCGCGGCTTTGTTGTCCATGTCCATTGGTTATGCATACATGCATATAAGTTCTGTGGTTTATTTCTTCCCATCCCCCCAAACCCCCTTCTGAGGGATGTCAGTCTGTGCCCTACTTCCATGTTTCTGGGTCTACCATATTCCTCAGACTGTTATGTTCATTATATTCCATATATAAGTGAGATCATGTGGTATTTGTCTTTTTCTGCTTGGTTTATTTCACTTAGGATAATACTTTCCAGGTCCCTCCATGTCGTCTCAAAGGATAAGAGATCTTTCTTTCTTACAGCTGCCTAGTACTCCATTGTGTATATGTATCACAGCTTTTTTATCCATTTGTCTACTGATGGACATTTGGACTGTTTCCAGATCTTAGCTATTGTAAATAGTGCTGATATGAACATGGGGGTACATATATTCTTCCTGATTGGTGTTTCAGGCTTCTTAGGGTATATTCCTAGAAGTGGGATCACTGGGTCAAATGGAAGTTCGATTTTTAATTTTTTGAGGTAACACCATATTGTTTTCCATAGTGGCTGCACTGGTCTGCATTCCCACCAGCAGTGCACTAGAGTCCCCTTTTCTCCACACTCTCGCCCATACTTGTTGTTTGATGATTTGTTGATGGTGGCCATTCTGACAGGTGTGAGGTGATACCTCGCAATCTTGGTTCTTTACCCCATTGTGCCACAAAAATACTTTCAACTTGTGCTGTGATGTAAAGAAGAGTGGGAAGCACTATGCCAAGGGACTTCGCTTATCATTCATCCAGAAGGCAGGCATTTCAAAAAGGTCACATGTCCATCTGTTTATTTAAGCACAAGCTATGTCCAACAGAAGAGGGTTTCCTGTTTTTCATGTTGGGATGTGATGATTTGCAATCTGCAGGTAAGATCTGGGCAGAGGAAATCTGGGTCTAGGACATCTGCCGTTATCTATGGTTGTACGTTAGTTTCCATGGACAGAATGCTGTTTGGCAGCCTAGATCACACGTTCATAGGTTGAAGTCCCAGGAGGTCTGCTGTCCTGAGTGCTTTGTTCCATCTGCGCTCAAGAGGGAGATGGATGACATGTTAACTGAAAGGTGAAGCTGGGGAATTCTATTTCCTATGAGGAACCCAGGAGAGTTATGCAAATGGCACAGGGAGATGCCTTAGATTTCCCCAGAAATGGGGAAATCTTGGGTAGCAGGGCCTGGCCTTTGCTGAGTCTTCCCCTCTGCTCCACCCACCCCATTTTGGAAGCCCTTGGGTCCTCAACTTCTTCACTCAGAGAAAAGCAGGAGGGAATGAGGGCACTTGCATTGATTTTGATTATAGGCTTGAGGCAACATCAGGCTCAAACTACTTGCCTCCCTTGTTCCTAGTTGAGCCCTAGTTCCTTCTGTACCCCAATAACTGTACCTTCACCTATTCACAGTGGTGAGTTACCTGTGCTATCATTTCATGTGCTCTAGTTTAGAACACTGCACACAACCTTCCCATTGGCTTGAGGAGTCTTTGATTTTAAAATACATACTGACCAATGAATAATTGTCATTCAGAAGGATACAACATTTCAGAGGATTCACTCTGAGATATCTCAATCCAGGACTCCCGGATTAATTCTTCAAATCTAGTCCTTTACAACTTTATCTCCTTCTCCGTTTCCTTCCACTGTCCTTCAGGTCCTGGCTCAAACATTCAAGCACCTTGCCCCTCACTTCTTGCTTCTTCTTCCCCTTTCCTCACTCTTCTCCTTTTCCTTCCCTTCCTTCCTGCTCATACTCACTGAGGAAAAAATTGTCCTCTGTCTCTTTCTCCAGGACACTTGGCTTATCTTTTCAATTAAACCATCCTATGCACTCAGTTTCTTAAAAACCTTCCTACTTGTGCAGCTCACAGATACCTTACAGAATCAGCTCTTACTTCTTATTTATGGATTCATTTACATTCCATTTCTAGTTCCCAATATATCCTCCCACCATTCATTTATTATCATTATTTTTCCATTTCTCTAGATCCCTGGATTCAAATTTATCTTTCATGAGTAGTTTCCTGCAATATTAGCTCAGCTATTAAACAGGAACACTTACAAAACATGTGATTCACCAAGCTGTCCTGACTATAGCAGAAATGAGGGCACTCAGATAGTGACAACCCCTCAATGGATCCCCCAAACTGAAAATCCTTTTAATTAATTAATTAATTTTTATTCCTCACCTGAGGATATTTTTCTATTTATAATAGAAAATAATAGAGTAGGAGGGAGGAAGAGAGAGAGAGACAGAGAGAAACATCAATGTGATAGAGCCACACTGACTGACTGCCTCCCGCATGACCCAACCAGGGCTGGGGATGAATGGCAACCGAGGTACGTACCCTTGACCAGAATCGAACCCGCAACTCATTGGTCCGTGGGTGGCTGCTCTAACTGCTGAGCCAAATCGGCCAGGGCTGAAAATCCTTTTAAAGGACAGGGTTTATGGTTCCTCTGCATACTCCAGAGAAGGACATTGAACCACAGGAACTTGAGATTGTCACTAGATCACTACAAATGGCTGTGAAGTTTGCATACTGTAAAGCTCAGCTGATGGAGCAAAGGGGAACGAAGAGTCAGCCTGTGTTCTACTTGCCAGTTTGTACACCTGATGTGGACCCACTGGGAGGCACCTGTTTTCTTATTTTCACAATGTGAGCTAACAGTGGCCCAGGGTATGATAGAGGCTGGAGTTAGTTTCCACGCTATGTTCGGGGACTTAAGGCATCCAACACTTACAGGGTGGGATCAGCACTCCAGCCTGTGGATAACCATTGACCTGGGGAGTAGTGCTCTGGGCATGTGTGGAAGTACCTTAGCCCAAAGCCCTCAGCGATTAGCCCTGGGGAGTCTAGAGAGAAGCCCCAAGGAAACCAGCTGGTTCCTTGTTGGATAGACAGGGTATAATAGCAGAATTTTTGGAACAGATAGGACAACAGGGATAAAAAGTCAGAAAGAATTTACCTTATCAGAATACTGCAATATAGAATAAATTGGGTCTACTGGCTTCTCTTTCGTGGAGAGCACCTATAAAACACCCATCATTCACTCAGTAAAGGAACCCTGGCACAATGTTTTGAATCCCCCTTTCTACTTCTCCCCCTGCCCATCACCCCTCCCTGGTAGTACTCCAGGCCTCATCTCTGCTTCCGCCCAGCTTTGGAGAAGATCAGCTTCAGATGAGGGTGTGGTGGGAGGGTGAGTTGCATTTCAGCCAAAACCTCAAGAAGAGAGTCTGCATGGTTCAGACTGAGTTTTGCTCAGTCAGGGTTTTAGCTTTCCATGGGCTTTATGGACCCAGCTGCCCTATCAATCCACGCACAGTGCTCAATTCACCAGGCAGACATCAGTTTTCCCCTTCACTCCTTGCACACTTCAGGGGAGCAGGCCGATGGAGGCACAGATGAAGGTGATACCATGTAGAATATTGAATCAGGGTGGAGGTGAGGGAGGGGCAGGAAGATAAAAGGCAGGAAGGAAGAAAATGCATAGGACAGAGTGACTCTGAGCCTGAGGAAAGTAAACTGTTGCTGTAGCCATACAAATTAATCAAGTCCAAAGGCTCTCTCTCACTTCGGTGCCCTTGGAGCCCTCTTAGCAACCTGTTCACATGTTAGTGGCTACATAACCGCCCCCACCTAACACCAGGGGCTCTCTTGTGTCTTGTCCCCTCTATCAGGTACTTCACTCCTAATCATGACACTCATCTGACCTTGAGCCAGGCTCCATGTGGAAGTTTAGGGCCTCAATCCTGGAGGCTGCCATGGGGGAACAACTGACCACATTCCTGTCCTCATAGAGAGAATCATGGCATCATTCCCCGGATATGGTACTTCCTGGTCGGATCTCCAGATTCTTGGCCATGGCTTCTATCTAGGCAGCAGTAAACAGAGGCCTGCCACTTGTGACTCCCTGTCCTGGGGGTGCTGGTGAGGATCCATGAGTCACTTTAGGTCACCTTGGATGAGGAGATTTCATCATAGATTCTGGGCTCTGCTGGTCGGGCACCTCTTGGAATGGTGGCATATGTATATATTGTGTTCTTTGAGACAGCATCTGTGTCACAAATAAAGACAGAAACACAGTATGTGAAAGGTGGATGACTTTTTTAGAGATGGTCTATCCTAATGTTTTCTTTTTAAGAGGAAGAAATGAAGCCCTATGAGGTTAAATGGCTCCCTCCTTTTGAGATGGGTGCTTGGACTGTCTCTTCTTCTCCTAGGGTTTACATGTGCTATGGGAGGCACCTGGCTCAAGTCTCACCCAGAGCTCAGTGGTAATTCTTTTCTACTCTAGAGTCCGCATTAGGCTAAAGACACTCTCCTCAGTCTCTGTGTGGGCAAAGTAGCCTTTCTATCCAGGGTCTTCTTAGTGTTTCTGGCAATTAGAATTGACAGCCTTGAATGGCTAGTTGTTTTTTTAATGAAGAGGCTCTTGTTTTTTCAGCTAGATTGAGTCTCTCTAGTTACATACTGTGTTAGAGTATTCTGGTACATAGATCGCTGTTACTGCCTCAATGTTAAACACATAGCAACTGCTCCACTAACAGTGGCTTGATTGACTCACACAAACATTCATTAAGCTCTCTCTATGTGCCAGGCTCTGCGTGAGGCTGTACAGAAGCAAAAACAGGAGAGATATAGCCATACTTTTAATAATTTATGGGCTGGCCCTGGCCAGTTTTGCTCAGTGGTTAGAGCATCGACCCGAGGACCAGAGTCAAGGGTTTGATTCTGGTGAAGAGCATGTGTACTTCGGTTGCAACTGGTCCCTGGCCCTGGTTGGGGTTGTGCAGGAGGCAGCCAGTCGATGTGTCTCTTTTACATCAATGTTTCTCTCTCTCTACCTCCCTCCCACTTTCCCACTCTATCTGAAGATAAATAGAAAAATATCCTTGTGTGAGGACTGAAAAAAAGTAATAATTTATTGGCTGGAAGAAGTGATCCTAGTGTACCAATTTTCTTTGATCCTAACATGGAACATTTTAGGGTCAAGTTGAAAAGATATAACCAGAATTTAGGGTCTTCATGTTCCAGGGCACTGACATATCCACATATAACAGGTCTGAGCTAAACAATGTCAGAAGGATCCCACATTTAAGAGTTTAATCCTATTCAGCTCTTGCCTCAGACTTGATGAGTGAGGTAGACTGAGTGCTCTCTTGTCTCACTTGTAAATGAAAAACTTAGCCATTCTTCTTTCCCAGTAGGCCATAAGGGATTGAAGACAGATATTTTTCTTCTGTTGTTGTTTTTGAGGAACGCTGAAGATCACCTGAGCAGGTTGCATGACTTTTCATCATGGGCCAAGCCAGGACTTATCAATTATAAGTATGGTAGCTAACTTTTACTGAATACTTACTATGTACCAGGTACTAGGCCAAGTGTTTTATATGTTTAATTCCATTTAACCCATTTAATGAATATGTGCAGCAACCCTATTACTATACATGTTTTATTATTGAGGAAACTGAGACTTACAATGATAAAATAACTGGTAGTTCATAGTGGTCAAGATGGAACCTTCACCCTAGACTATCTTGCTAAAGCATAAGCTTAGTATTAACCACTCTGCTGTGAATTCATCTCTCCCAGTAGTCATCCAGAGAAATTTGTAGCTGAGAACTTACCAGGTTTCTTACTGAAGGTCTTCACGTAGGAACCTGAGGAATCAGACCACAGGAGAATCAAGAACGTGGAAGCAGAGGGAGAGTCTCTCTATATACAGGTTTACAATTTGAGCAAAGGGGAAATTTTGGGTGGACGTGAGTTTAGGAGGAATAGCATGGTGTAATGATCCTCTAGGGTGCTAAAGTCAGGTTTTCTGAATTGAGAATAGCATAAATACAAAAGATCTGGAGGGATCTAGAAGAATCTAGTGACAACTATGGAATATAAAATTGATACATGTTCCTCAATGACTCTCCAAAGGTCATAGTTAAAAAATATAATGGAATTGAAAGTGACTCTGAAGATCCTCTAGTCCAAACCTTGCTTCACATGTGAGAACACTGAGCCAGAGAGGTAAAGGTACATGTTTAATGAGCCACAGTTTATTAATGGCAGTGCTAAACTTGAACCCAAGCTCTGGACCCACTAGATACTGGTGATCCCATGAACAGATTATGAAGATCATTCAGAGTGATATGATATACTCAGGGCCATCAGTCTGGGAGACTGTGTGGTGGTGGGGTGGGGTGTGCAGAAATGTGGATTCCCTGGAACAAATGACCTCTCCACACCACCTTGGATAAATGACTTCAGTCCTAAGAAGAAGAAAGGTGCAACTCCACATTGGGAAAATCCTACCTTTTCTTCTCTTCCACAAGATGAACAAAAGCACTGGAAATAGAATGAATACAAGCAGAAACAACAAAACGAGCACACTCAGCAGCCGAGGATGGTGAATATGGAAGCCAGTTGTGATATCTGAAAATGGAAGATGCAGTAAGACAACTCTCAGAAAATAGGCTCAAGATGCTGGGAAGGCTTGTCTTCATTCAAGGGGCACTGTCAAAACTGGGTGTCCTCCAGGGGAGTACCAAAGCTTTGAGGTAAACTGTACTTTCTTCTATTTAAGGTCAGGGTTAGAAACTGGATCAGGGAACATCCATTAGAAGTCTCTGGACTAGTTTCCGGGGCTTCCTGGGAGGAGATGCCTCTTGGGACCAGGCCTAGCATAAGGGAGGCATATCCCCCTGGAGAATGAGGCCCACATTCAGCCCTAACAGCTCTTCAGAGTAATTTGTGAGACCCTAGGAAAGATGGACAGAGCTGGTTACCTGCACAGAGATGCTGGGAAGAGATAGAGTCAGAACTGTTGCTGACAGGGTTCCAGGCTGTACATGTGTAAGTCAGTGTTTTGTTTTTAGGAGTCTGGGAGATTTGGAGGACACTACCCTGTTTCCCCAGGGGACTCCAAGTGTATGTCACATTTTCTCTTTCTTTCTCCACAGAGCATGTTAGTGTGACATTACAGGTATCATTCACAGATGCCACTAAACTCTGAGTAATTTTCGGCTTCCCAAGCCTACCTATGAGGAAAAAACACATTAGCCAGTGGTAAACTGGTGTCGGCCTATACCAGCTTATAAGAGCCAACTGCTATATTTTCAACAAATATTCAAATGTTTATTAAACACAGCCATCAAGAAAAAGCAAAGTATAAAAACTTACAATAAAATAAATCATATTAAATACAAACCTAATAAATATTCAAAATGCATCACTTTCTATTTTTGACAATTTACCATCTAGAAGTTATTTATATCTATGTATCTGTCTTTTGCAATGATGTACAAAGTTTTTCCAACTCTGCATGTTTGTGACAACATTGATGGATCTTGAAGGTATAATGTTAATAAGCCAGATGAAAAAGGACAAAAACTGTGACTTCACTCATATGTGGAACATAAAACAAAAAGTAACAAACAAACTATGAAAACAAAACAAAAAGAAACTAAGACACAGGCATCAGAATGGAAGTTACCAAAGGGGAAGAGGTATAGAGGTAGGGCAAAGAGGGTCAAATATACTACAGAAGGAAAATAGACTTTGGGTTGTGAGCACACAATATTGTATACAGATGTTGTATTATAAAGATATACACCTGAAATTTATATAATGTTATTAATCAGTGTTACCTCATTAAATTTAATTTTAAAAATAGGCCATGGAGGGAGTATTTATACCACAGGAATTGGCAAGTGCTACAAACTTGGACTCGATTTACTGCTTTGTTGATAGTTGCTCTGGACTTAAGAAAGCAATGGAGGAAAGGTTACTAAAGCAGATTAAATTTAAAAGTATATGCTGTCTGTAGCCATTACATTGTGAATAGCAACAAAACAAAACAAAACAAAAAATATAAATCAAAACAAACTAGGAAATATTCTTCCAGTATTTGAAAACCAAAATCCTATAAGCAAAGAAGTTGCTCATGTCATTGACAAACAAGTAAAGTTCATATATATATATACACACACACACACACACACACATATATATATATCTTTATTGGATCACTTTTTCTGATTAGTTAAATGAAAATATCAACTAATAGTCATGCTGGTTCATTCATTGATTGCAACCATAGGTTGGACAGGGATATAAATATTCAGCAAAATTCAATAAAAGCATGCTGTGAGAACAATTGATTATTTGGCATTTACAAGAAAGACTATTGTATACTTTATTATCAATTATAAAATTGTGTGCCACACATTCTTTATGTGAATAAAGCTTATCATATATACATATATATATATATACATACATACATATATATATATTACATACACAAACAAACACACCATGAAGAACCATATTTGAGCATTTATCAGTATACCACTCATGAAACAATATTAAAAAAAATTAGCTTTGTTTTCTGGTGTATGTGTGTTTGCTTTAAGTTTGTTGTTTTGTTTTAAAATACTCATGGTGAGAAGCTGAAACATCTTTAAAAGTTTATTTACAAAAATGTTTTCACTAAAGCAACCAAAAGGTAAACTGTAAAAGTTGTAGGCTGGTAAAGTGTTACTAAAGAACAATAATATTTAAGTTGAGGTAATAACTAGACAGAAAGAAGGGGAAGATTTTTTCTTTTACCAGGAGATAAAAAATGACCAAATTCAGTGTTAATAAGTTTACTTCATTCTTGTCAAAGCTGCTATGTTGGGGTTTGTCCCATCCACTACAGCTGTGTGAGGAAGGAAATAGAAGAATCAGAAGGAACTGGCGTATTACTTTCTAATTAACGTGGAGTTTATAAAGGTAATACATTCCACAGGGTAAATATGTACGGGAACCATTTGTCTGTACTTGTGAAGGAGGAGAACGTGAGAAGTAAGAAGCTGTAAAGATTTTTTATTTTTCTTAACCAGAAACCCTGTTTTTAAGAGTCTCTTAGAGGGATCTATTCTGGATTAGAATTAGCGATGACTTGGCAAAAAAATAAAAATAAAATAATTCTAAACAAGTTGGAATTAAGACCTTGATTAGCTAGAACAGCTACAGATAGATATGTGTAGTATAAAATGAACCAAATTGCATGTGTGTGTGTGTTTGTCTAGAAACTTAATTTACAAGAATTTTTAAGACTCTGCTTGGTATTTGCTTATTTTAGAAAGACTTTTGTGTGTGTGAGAAGGGGAGGGGGTGTCAAGGTGAAGAACAGAAGCGATGAATAAGATTCCATCTTACTTTTTTCTCGTTAGGTACAGAGACATTACCTGCACAAAGCTGCTGGGCAGAAAAGGTCATAGTTGTAGCAGGCAGACCTCATTCTCTCAAACTAAAGAGTGTGGAAACCACTGAAGACTTGGTTCAGAATACAGGCTTCACTACCCTCTAATTGTAGGACAGTGGAGAAGATATGAAGTTTCACTGAGCTTTAGTTCCCTCAATTATAACATAAGGATAACAAAGTTCTCCTGCTAGGGTTGTGAGGATTAAATGGGCTATTATATACATATAACGACCACTTAATATCCATCTGCTCTATCTATCTATCTATCTATCTATCTATCTATCATCAATCTATCATCTCTATCTATCCATCTATCATGCCTCTACAATTGTATGTACATTAATCTTTATGGAAGAGGCAAATTAAACTGGTAAAAGTGACTGCCTCTGAGAAAGGAGAATTGCATTTCACTGTATTATCTGTTGCTCGGTTTGTGCATATATTGCCTAAATTGGTATCATCTTTATATATTTTTAAAAATTAGGTGGTAGAATGCCAGACACATAGTGTCCAATAAATGTCAGTTTCCTTCTCTATCTTCTCAGCTAACTACCCAAAAGATACACATTTTGTTGTATGGGCAATACAGCTTTCTCTCAGACTTTATAGTGGTCTTTCCTACTTACAGACAATACAATGCCTTCCAAAGATTGAGTAGGTAAAACTAAATACATAAAGGGATAAAAATGAATATCTTAAAATTGAATGCTCTTTTTATTTTCTTCACAAAAGTTCTTAAATGAGTCAAATATTTTCTAAAGTGTCTACAATTGGGTATGGTTCTTTGATTATGTCACTCATGCCCAATTCAGAGCCTTTTTCATCTAGAAAGTCCTTCATACATGCAATTTAAGAGGGGGCTAAGGGTTGAAAATTAATAATGACTACTAGTTATTGAGCATCTACTTTACAGCATGTACTGTACTAGGAGCTCAACTAACCCTATCTTATTTAACTCTACCTATTGTAATCTACATTAAATAGATGAGGAAATTTAGGCCCAAAGAGGATAAACAACTTGCTCAAGGTCACACAGCTGGCAAAAGGTCTAATTCCAACATTAATGTTCTTTCTACTATAGGCCTTACATCCAGATAGAACCTGCTATATTAATAAAGCACTTACAATCATTAAGCACTGTGAGAACCTCAGACTATTATGATTCATTTATTCTTTCATTCAACAAATACTAACCCCCAAATGAAAGACAAGAAGAAATCACTAGAAAAGGAACTAAATGAAATGAAGGCAAGCAATTTGTCAAATAAAGAATTCAAAGTAATTGTTTAATAGGTGCTCAAACAACTTAGTGAGAACTACAAGCAACTTAATGAGAACTATAAGGAACTCAGTGGTAACTACATTAGCATGAAAAAGGAGGTAGAAGCCATAAATTAGAATTAATCAGAAATGAAGAAAGACATAGCTAAAATAAAGAATACCTTGGAAGAATTCAATAGTAGATTAGAAGAAGCTAAGGCCCAAATCAGTGAATTAAAGATAAGGTAGAAAAAAACCCACCCAATCGGAGTAGGAAATAGAAAAAAAAGTCCGGCAAAGGTGGCTCAGTGGTTGAGCATCAACTCATGCACCAAGAGGTTGCCAGTTCAATTCCCAGTCAGAACACATGCCCAGGTTGTGAGCTCCATTCCCACTGGGGGGCATGCAAGAGGCAGCCAATTGATGTACTCTCTCATTGATGTTTCTCTCTCTCTCTTTCCATCTCTCTCTAAAATCAATAAAGGAAAAAAAAGATAAAATCAGGAGGGTAGTTTAAGGGGGCTTTGGGACAATATGAAATGGAACAACATTCACATCATAGGGGTACTAGAAGGAGAAGAATCTGAGTGAGGAGTAGATAACGTGTTTAAAGCAATAATGAGAGAAAACGCCCCTAACCTGGTGAAGGAAAGTCACTCAAGTTCAGGAAACACAGAGTCCCAATCAAGATGAAACCCAAAAGACCCACACTAAGACAAATAACAATTAAAATGGCAAACATTAAAGACAAAGAAAGAATCATAAAGGAAACGAGAGAGAGAGACAGAAAGTTACCTAAGAGCTCCCATTAGACTGTCAGCTTATTTCTCAATAGAAACACTTCAGGCCGCAAGGGAGTGGCATGGAGTATACAAAGTAATGAAAAAGAAGGACCTAAACCCAAGACTCTATATATAGAAAAGTTGTCTTTCAAAATTGAAGGTAAAATAAAGAGCTACACAGACTGGACAAAAAAAAAAAAAAAAAAAGCTGAAGGAGTTTATAGTTCATTACCACCAAACGAGCACTAGAAGAAATGCTAAAGGGACTATTGTAAGATAGAGTAACACAGGCATAAAGAATAAAAATGGCAACAAATAAGTACCTATCAATAATAATCTTAAGAGAATTCTAAAACGGCAGCAAAGTGAATGGAAGGTACACAGACCGTCTCCCAGGACCAAACTGGAATTACAACTAAAATAAAGACAAATCATCAGGAAAAAGCAACAGAAAAGCAGCTTGCGAGGATCATACAACCAGAGACACTGACTCGATCCTGGTAGGATTGTGGCAGTGCGAGAAGGGGGCTGTAAGCCCACAAACAGCAGTGGCTTTAGCTGTGAGCAACACCCTCAGTGGCTCCACAGCCCAGGGCCAGGACAGATACTAAAATAGCCACATCCAATCAACTTGGGCACCAGCAGAGGAAGGGCAGACTGGACTGGAACTGTGTGGGGAACTCTGGATTTGGAGGGCACTCAGAGCTTTTGATGACTTGTAGCCATGCAGGACGGTGGCCATCTT